AGCGCAGCAGGGGTGCAGAGGGGTCCAGCAGCTGTTCAGGCCTGCATGGGGCTGAATGAAGGTTATGCAGCATGCCACACAACACCCTCTCCAGCACTAACGGGTGTATTTTCCCATGGTATATTGAGTGCACTGCTCCCAAGGAAGAGAGCTTGTGTAAGGATCAGATGACAGGTCATCACAAGTGATATTCATTTACAGGATCAAGAAGAGGACGTAGATGAAGCCCTCTTTAGGCAACTGCAGAACTGATCTTGATGCTCCTCAACAGTTCTACCAAATCCAAACATCTACTTGAAAGGTAATTTGGCTAGGTGCAAGAAATCCAAGAGATAACTGTTAAGTCATGAAATCTATTTAGTGATGCAAGTGCTTGATGAATTAGCTAGGAGAGATGTTTTGTTTAACCTGCTTCTCACAAACAAGGGAGAACTTGCTGAAGATATGAAAGTCAAGGTCTGCCTTAGCTGCAGCAACAATGAGACTGGAGTTTGTGATCCTGAGAGGAATGAGAAAGGCAAACAGCAGAATTACAACTCATGGACTTCAGAAAACCAGATTTTGCCTTGTTCAGGTTCCTGTGGGAAACTGTTGTGGAAGGCACAGGATCCAACATAGCTGGTTGATGTTCTAGAACCCAGTGCTCCAAGATCAAGAATGGTTCAGTCCAGTGGCAGAAATTTAAGGAAGTGTGAAAAAAGGCATAGAGTTCCTTAGTCAGACCAGACAAAAAAAGGAAGCTTGCAAAGGTGGAAGCGGAGTCAGGGTATCTGAGAGCAATACAAAGACATTGCCCAGGCATGTAGAAATGGAGTTACGAAAGACAAAGCTCAGCTGTAGTTGAAATTTGCAAGGGACGTGAAGAACAACAGGAAAGGCATCTCTGAGCACACTGACAGCAAAACAAAGCCTAAGGCAAGTGTGGGCACCTTGCTTAGTGATGGGTTGAATGACAAATTCATTTCTGCTGTAACTCTGAAGAAGTCTTATGTCCTAGAATGTGGAAAGGAAGAGCTTATGCTGAGGCTGGTGGGTTCAAGAGTGGATGATGGAGAAGGACCCCTCTGGCTCCTCAGCAATGAACATGAGCTGTAATGCAGGAAGTGACAGGAAGGAGTAACATTAGTGATGCTCATTAAAGGAGGAATTAATGGTGTTCAGAGATAATTATGCTGAGTAAATTAGAGCACATAGGACAGTTTTTAGGATATTTATGAGAGATTGGGAAGATGTGAGGATGCTCTGGGAGGTCTTGAAAGTGTTCAGGGTGAATGTGGAGGACTGGGAAAAATTGGGAAAGCCCAGAGAGGATGGAGGACAATTAAATATACTTGGAGAAGGCAGAATTTAAGGTTATGAGCCATTGCCTATCTCATATTAGCTGTGCAAATGTTTCTGTCTTCCAGAGCAGGAACCTCCTCCTGAAGAGCAGATGATGGAAGAACTGCTGGCATTTAACATCAGTTGGGACTGGACAGTTTCACCACTGTCAACAAGACTGTGTGACTTCTCTGGGCTCAGAGTAGTGGTGACACTCCAGAAAGCAGATGGGTCCTGGGCCCTCACTGCAGCCCTGGTTTCTGCCTTGGGGCTCAGCAAGGCTGATGCTGAGGAACAAAGCCTGGTGAGGTAAGCAGACCAGGGGCAGGAGTGGGGCTCACTGTCATGAGCTAAACCCTCCTCTGCTCCAAGTTTCCAGTCTAAGCTGAACTGAAAGGAAGAGATCAAAGCAGTCAGGATATAGAGCCTCTTCGCTTGTGGAAAAGGGGCATGGCGGCATGGGATGGAATCAGCAGCTATACCTGGGAACTTTCTTATTCTGAAGATTTCAGAACCTTAGGGAGATTCTCTGCATGTGTAGAGGTCTTACTTTTTCCACGTACTGGTTTAGGTCTGGTCTTTCTTTTTCTTTCTTCCCTCCGATTGTTATGTTTTCCTCCACAGGATGTGCAGCCAACTGCCTGGGCCACAGTTTTGGCCTTAGTCTGGTTGCACCAGTATAAATGGAAAGCATCTTGATCAGAGCTTCTGTGGTCTACCTTGACTTCAGTAAAGCCT